AAGTTGTAATCAAAGCGAAGAGGGAGGTTTTGCAATAATCCGAAATAGGGTATACGTAATCAGTTTTATTACTCCTGGTCTACCTCATTATGTTATGGTTTGTGTTTACAGGCCTCGTTATGTCAGTAATGGGCTGTTCATTATTTTCATTAAATCGAAGCCCATAGTAATATAAGCCCAAATTACTAAACCGTTGTCGTTTAAGTCCGACAGTGTTTGTTTTGTCGCTTCTTTGTTATATAATGCTGCACTAAAGAAAAAACCCTAGGCTCTCTACAAACCCTTCCTTTGCGCCGGTTGTGTGCGGCTCTGCAAATCTTCGAAAATGGGTAAATCGTTCTTCTCATTCTTCGTCTAGATCCATTCTCTTCGTTTCTTAGATGGATTCAGCTTCTCTTTTGTTGTGGAAATGGTGTTTGTTGTTATGGATCTGTTGTTGCGAACTGTTTCCATTAAGCTTTTAGTGATTCGATTGGTTTTTGATGAACTTTAGGTGCGTACAAGTACGTTTCGGAGCTATGGAGGAAGAAGCAGTCCGATGTGATGAGGTTTCTGCAGAGGGTTAGGTGTTGGGAGTACAGACAGCAACCTTCGATTGTCCGTCTCGTCAGGCCTACTCGTCCTGACAAGGCTCGTCGTTTGGGTTACAAGGCCAAGCAGGTGAATGATTTTGTTCCCTCTAGTTTTCGCTTATTTGATCTCTTATGGTGATCGTTTTTGGTAAGCTGTAAAATGATTTTGTAGAACGTTATTGGTAAAATGAGATTATGTAGTGTAGTTTCTGAGATTTTGGTTGATATTACTGTGTTATCTGCTTATGGGATTAGCTTACTTTCGATGCTCTTGCGTTGTTAGTAGAGATATGGAAGCATTTCTGGTTATGTGAACATTTATTCTCTTAGAGGATTGTGTATGTTTGATGCTAACTCACTTGCTGTATTTACTCTTATCTTAAGTCCAGCTATTGTTTCTGATTGGTATATGAACATATTCTTGATGTAGCCATTGTTACTAATCTAGTTGGGATGTTGATTTATGTCAGGGCTTTGTTGTGTACCGTGTCCGTGTGAGACGTGGTGGACGCAAGAGACCAGTGCCAAAGGGTATTGTGTATGGTAAGCCCACAAACCAGGGAGTAACCCAACTCAAGTTCCAGCGTAGCAAGCGATCTGTTGCTGAAGAGCGTGCTGGACGCAAATTGGGTGGTCTCAGAGTCGTGAACTCTTACTGGCTCAACGAGGTACAATTAGACTCTCTCTTTTCCATTACTCTTAACATTAAGGTGGTATTGTGTATAGAGATATTAACTTGCCAAGTCTTGCATATAGGATTCGACGTACAAGTACTACGAGATCATTCTTGTTGACCCAGCTCACAATGCTGTCCGTAATGACCCGAGAATCAACTGGATCTGCAACCCGGTGCACAAACACCGTGAGCTCAGAGGACTTACCTCAGAAGGAAAGAAGAACAGAGGTCTGCGTGGAAAGGGTCACAACAACCACAAGAACCGTCCGTCTCGCAGGGCTACATGGAAGAAGAACAACTCTGTGTCCCTTCGTCGTTACCGTTGATTGCCTTTTGCTATTATCATTACAACTTTTATCTTCTTCTAGGTTTCCATGTCGTTGCTCTTTTATCTCTCTCAGGGTAACTTGTGTTTTTGCAAATTTTGGAGACTATACAATTGCGTTTTCATTATGGGTTTAATTAAGACTTTATATTTGCTTGCTTTATGTTTATCCAGATGTTCTTTTTGCCTATATCATCCCATTTCGCAATATGAGCATTTATCTTAATTTTTTTAATACAATTATGAAAATTTAAACATTTAATGACTTGAAAAAAGTTTATATCGTCATTTCTCATTGTCAACATCTCTCTAACCATATATATTCTGCCAAAAGCAAAAAAAATTCAATCAGTTAACAAAAATGCAAGGTGATCTGTTTGACAACTATTCCTCCGAATCATGTAGAATCAATTGAACAAAACTTGAGGATCGTAGTATAGAGAAGCTTTGTTATTATGAATCTATGACACAAATTCCAGTGGCAAGACTGCCAGTTAGCTCAGTTGAACTGCAGACAAAACACTTTGTTTTCAATCATCAGGGAATCCGAGGAACCTGTCGATAATGCGCGCAACAGGTGTTCCGTCCCCTGGAGTATATCGAACCAGAGACTCCAACTCCATTTTCTTCAAGGCTTGATGAAGCGTGTGAGGACGAGCGCAATACAAGTGTTTCCTCTCTTCTAGTTCCTCAGCTAATTCGCATTGATGATTGTCCATCAGATCTTCATTCACTACCACAATCAATGGTTTCCCGAGCTTTAGTGTCTCGAATATGCTTCCAGATCCTGCATTTCACAATGAGTGTGGCTTTGATTCTATAAATGTACAATTTGTCAAAGGATGCCATCACTAACCAGCATGACTAATAACAAGTGATGCAGATCGAATATAATCTGCAATACTCGAGGAAAATGTGAAGTAATCCACGACTAACGATCCATCCGTTCCATCACACTGAGTCAGTAATTCAAAAAAAAAAAAAACAGCATGAGAAGCTTCATAGATGCATATGATATTCCAAATGATTCTGATTCAACACTAGAAGAAGTGCATATGACAGACATCAACAAGAGAGCAACAAAAGATCAAATGCTTAAGACATACATCAACAAGAGAGCAACAAAAGATCAAAGATACATGAGAAGAAGAAATTTATTTCTGAAACAAGATACCATTGCTTTGTAGTGTTTTCTACCAATTCAAGAAGATGTGTTACTCGAAATCATGCATATGAGAAAGAAATGATTCTGATTCAACACTAGGGAAGAAAAAAGCAAGTAAATTTGAAGATGAAATGCTCATTAAACAGACCAAAAGATCAAAGATGCATCAGAAGGACAAAAATTTGTTAAACCTAACCTATCTCTAAAACAAGACACCATTGATTTGTACTGTTTTCTACGAATTCAAGAAGATGGGTTACTCAAAAATTAAATTGTCAGAATCACAATCCAATCAAAAGCAAACAAGTGAGAAAGAAATGATTCTGATTCAGCACTAGGGAAGAAAAAAGCAAGTAAGTTTGAAGATGAAATGCTCGTTAAAACAGACATGAACAAGAGAAGAACAAAATGATCAAAGATCCATTGATTTGTACTGTTTCAAGAAGATGGGTTTACTCAGAATCATGCCTTAAAATCCAATTCTGAGAATCATCACAAGCAACGAATCAAAAGCAAACCTTGGTTGGGGAATAGATTCCTCGACCCATCTGAATGAGAAGATGAGTATAACCTCTCTTGAGCAACTCGTCTTTAACATCAGGACTCATCACTGCTTCCACAAGAGCATCGAAACTCGTTGTTCCTACCGTCACAAACACTAGTCTCTTTGAATCTCCTTTATCATCCTCCATTTACGCAACTCCGATTTTGACGGATCCCTTTGGAATGTTAAGGGTTTATACGAATTATCAAACACAGGAAAAAGGAATCGATTCTCAATTACCAATCTATGTTATGTTCTGTGTATAGTAAGAGATCGATACATACCTGAAAGGGAAAGAAAGCACCGATTTGCTGCCTAAAACAATAAATCTTCATCTCTGTGAATTTTCCCATTTAGCAAAATTTTCTATCAAATTACAAAAATGATTGATGGGCTTTAAAAAGTGCTAAAAAGGCCCAATCGGGATAAAACGTATCGTTTTGGCACATTTATATAAAGGAGCAGAAAACGCAGTCGTTTCACTTGTCGTCGAAAACAACGGTCTTTGTCACCAACCCTAAAACCTCCCAGAGAACACAGAAGCGGTTTCTCAGCAACCGGAAAAACGCCATGAAACCTCGCTTTTCCCGGAATGTCCTCATCTTCCGTCAGTATTCACATCTCCGCCGCTTACACCATACTCATCGCCGAACCTTCACCTCTTTCCTCAACAATATCCGTTCCAATCACGGCGCTTGCGCTTCGTCTCCCGGCGGCGGAGGAGGAAGTGGAAGCGGAAGCGGAGATTCCAAAGGTAATTCCGAACTCTTCGTCGAATCTACAGTTGGATTACAATTGATTCACACTAGAGTTGTATAGGTTCTGGGTTTCTCAGAAGCTAAGTTGTGAGAAATTTGTTGAGTAGTTAAGTTTATTCCGTTAAGATCAATCTCTAGGGTTTTGAGCTTGAATCGTTGTTGCTTTTGCAGAGTTTTATCATTTAACATGTATTTACAACTTTAAAATGGTGATTTTAGGCAATGCTTTTCTCTTGCCTGGAGCAACAATGGCTACTATCCTTATGCTTGGAGCACTTCATGCTCGACGGCTCTATGAAGGCAAGAAGGTAATGTACCTCACTTTGTAGACATTTGAGAGATTCTGTGTACAGGGTTTGGTAGATCTTCTTCTTAGCGTTTGTTTTGAATGAACAGATCGAAGAGAAACGAGAAAAGGGAATCGAACTTGAGTTCCACCCAGATGTCAAAGTAAAATCTCCCTTGTCCCTTGTTATTCACTCTAGATGCAATGCCTGTTAAGTTTCTAAATCTTTGAGTGTTCATGTGTGGAAGGCCTCTTTCCTCGGAATTCTGCCTCTGCGATCAATCTCAAGAGCATGGGGCTCCTTGACGAGTCTGGTGAGTTCTTCTTCTTGAAGCACTTCTGGTTATCATTGAACATCATTTTCACCTGTTAGGTATTTTTCCTCACAGGAAATTCCGGTCTGGATGCGGCCGTATGTTTATAAAGCCTGGTCTCGAGCTTTCCATTCAAGTATGATCTCGTTTTTCTTGTATATGTCGTTCTTTTGGTTTGATTTCTGGAATTATGCAGAGGAAAAAATTATAAATGTGATTCCCAAACTGATCTATCTGTGTTTTCAGATCTTAAAGAAGCAGCTCTGCCTCTTGAAGAATATGCTTCACTTCAGGACTTCTTTGTTCGCAGCTTGAAAGAAGGTTGCAGGCCTATTGACCCCGATCCTCGTTGTCTGGTAACCGGTAACAAGAACGTGTTAACTTTCTTTTATGCAGACTGTTCTTTCTTAGTTTTGGCCTCTAAGATTTCAACAAAATCAGGTTAGTCCTGTCGATGGGACCGTTGTAAGGTTTGGGGAGTTGAAAGGAAGTAGAGGGATGATTGAGCAAGTCAAAGGACATTCTTACTCAGTATCAGCTCTTCTGGGAAACAACTCTCTGCTTCCCATGGTACCTGAAGGTAAGGATCAGTCTGAGGAAGAAGACGCTGTTGGAGAAAATAACGACAAATCTTGGTTGAGAGTCTCTTTGGCATCTCCAAAATTACGGGAGAGCATCTCAGCTAGGTCAGTGAAAATATAACCTTAATACTTCTAAAAAGTGACTGTAGTTTCAAGAGAAAACCCGTAACTTATGTGATCAAATTTTGGTTGCAGTCCAATGAAGGGGCTCTATTATTGTGTAATATACCTAAGACCAGGAGAGTATCATCGCATACACTCACCCGCTGACTGGAATGCATTGGTTCGTCGACATTTTGCAGGTTTGGTACCTCTCTATGCTCCCATTTAAGCATGTCGCCTATGTGTGGTTAGACCTTTGTAACTATTTTTGGAGCTTTATGTGTGATTGGACTTTTCTTACTATTGGTATCTCTCTAAAAACTATCATTTGTCAGGCCGATTGTTTCCGGTGAATGAGCGTGCTACAAGAACGATAAGGAATCTCTATGTCGAAAATGAAAGGGTAAAATTCTCAAGAGCCAGCTTCGTTGTAGATGTACCAACAAAATATGTCTGGCCTTTTTTATCTCCGGATATTGATCATCAGCTGTTAATCTGATTGAGAACAGGTGGTGCTTGAAGGGGTATGGAAAGAAGGGTTTATGGCACTTGCTGCTGTTGGTGCGACCAACATTGGATCCATCGAGGTAAGAGTGATGAAAACTGAAAACCGTAATCCTCAAGACATTACGGGACTTGCTGATATTTTCTGTAACAGCTTTTCATTGAACCTGAACTAAGAACAAACAAGCCAAAGAAGAAGCTGTTTCCTACAGAGCCAGCAGAGGAGCGGGTGTATGATCCAGAAGGTCATGGCTTGAAGCTCGAGAAAGGGAAAGAGGTAAGTAGACCGCAAAATAAAAACATGATAAACTCGAATCTAAGGAATGCAACTAATTCTTTTATGCATCATTGGTAAAATGGTTGATGCAGGTAGGTGTCTTCAACATGGGATCGACCGTTGTGCTTGTTTTCCAAGCTCCAACCGCAAACACACCCGAGGGTTCAAGCAGTTCCTCAGATTTCAGATTCTGTGTCAAACACGGTGACAGAGTCCGCGTTGGAGAAGCATTAGGGAGGTGGAAGGAGGAATGACATTATGAACTAACAACATGCCCCAGTGTTTTTTGGGTTAGGCTTTGCATATTGTGCGCAAACACAATACAAATGACCCAATCTTCAATCAATTCCTGAAAGTGTTTATGCTTTGTCTCTACTTGAGGCTCTAGCGATGAACAGATTTGTAACTGCCCACGTATTGAACACCATATCGATTATAGACTATTATATTCTGTGGTGTTTAAAATAAAACTTGAAAACAAAG